ATTATCCAGCAGCGCCAACAGTTCGCGCCTTCCACCGGCTCGTTCAATATCAATTACACCGAGCAGCATGTCTGCAGCCTCCGGGAGCCTCCAAGTGCTTGATGGTGGCACTTATTAGTTTGGAAAACAAGGAAAATACTAATAATCAGGGGTCACGAGAAAAAAGAAGGACACGGAGGGTTTATAAGGTGGCAATTAAAATGCTATCAATAGATACGACATTCCTCTTTGCGCACATATACCGTAGCCTTTGAAATTTAGTGGTAAACATACCTGGAGGAGTGTCTGTTACTTCATGTCAAGTCACCCCCTTCCAAAACAAGCGATTTACGATCTCCGTGCCTTCTTCTTAGTCGTTTTTTCCCCTTTGCATTTTAATGATGAAGAATAAGTTCCATTTATGGCCTATAAATATCAAGGTATTTATTTAGGCACAACCAGACCGCCGCACATAGCGCGCGCTGGCTGTGTGGTCCAAATTCATTTATACTAGGCCTATACCATCAGATAAAATAACGTTTTGTTTGGCAATTAGGCCTACTTGGCAAATCATATCTGTATGTCTCAGTACAGCTATATAGATACAAATTAATATGTTCTTATTGAAGAACAAATGGAGTGAGAGGGTGGTATGGCGAAATGGAACTATTGCTAAGCGCATTTCGTAGAGTTACAAGTGGTGTAAGTTTTCCTCCGTGATGTGCGCAGATGCAATATCGATTTTATTTTGATTACACAAAAATTTAAAATGGGCCCTATAGATGAGCTTTGCTACAGGTTGGTGCAAGATGTGCCACAGGCCAACAGCTAGGCCTATCGACATGATAAAAAATAATATCTTCTTTGGAGAGATTTGGCTATGTACAGTTTTCAATATTGAAATAATTTTCTACAATATTCATACGAAATATTGGTGACTCATGATTGATTAGTTTTCGTTACAGAAGAGTATTTTTTTTTACATTTAGTAGCGGGAATGACGCAACTAGTCTACTAAAAACAACAACCACTGCGTTTATTGGATGGATTTATTTAATATTACTTTAAATGTAACACAATACAAGAATTAAGCAAAATAATTGGTTGTGTGAAACTGATTTGGCCTACATTATATTCAAATGGCTTTTGTGCCAACAAAAAGAAGCAGGTATACATTAAGAAGCGACAAATCCTTTTATTATGTTTCACATAAGAGCCTTGGTATAAGAATAAAATGCCTCCACTGGGGCAACTCTTTCTTCAAAGTCGATTTTCTGCATTTCTCAAAGCTGCAGTAGGCTAAAGCAGATGAGAAATTAATTTGGTGAGTTCAGCTTCCTATATGCTAACAATGACGACTGAAATTATTTGTAACTGACACAAAGTGTGACAAAGTATGTCAGGCTTTCTGTGCAAAGAACACACATTACTGAAGATCTGCCCCATAATGCACCTGACTAATGGCAGCTTGACCACGCGCACTGCTGATTTCATGAAAAATGAATGTTGTGCTGTCATTCCGACAAGTTAGCAAGCAAATCCGGAAAGAAGCTATTAGTGCGGAATCCTTATCAATAGTGATATCTACAAATTATATTAGAAAAATCAGCAAGCAATTTATTCAATAGATGAATCTCCTTTGTGCGTAATTGATAAATAATCAAAAATTTATCAATGTAACCTGCACACATTTCAGTTACAATCAAGTAAAAGTAGACCATTTACCACCTGACTTGGTCCGAATTAGGGCTAAATTGACGATCAATTAATCTTGGGGGCGCAAGAGTTGTATTTTGTGGACAAGCAGCAAAGAAGTGGCAAATAAATGGAGTGGAGACAGGAGATTAGTGGAATGAGCAGAAAGGAGCTGAACCGCCTCGGTCTGTAGATAATGGGCTCGCAGCTGGGTCCCAAATTGCTGAATTTGTATCATCAGTATAGGAGTCAAATAGTAGCCTTTATGATTTATCATATACAGAGTGTGATTTTTTTTTTTTTTACTTTTAGGCGCAACATTGTAGTTCGAATGGGTTGGAATCCCAAGCTTCTGGCATATTGATAAAATGAGTATAGCCTACCTTTAAGCTCCTGGTAAATGTATATATATCGTATATACATATAACCTGATGAAAGTGGATCAGTTCGTTTTTAACGAATACAGTATAGGTGAATAGAATAAACGAAGACTTTTTTTTTTTTTTTGATGCACAGTAGGCTATACTACAACACAGGCGAAACGCAATCAAGCATATGAGAGTCCTCACATATTCACTTGCACTTTTCTCCAGTTTCGTCAATAACATGATACATTATAAACATCACTGTTTTGAGAGATATATTACTCATAGACTAATATACGTAGCCTACTTTTATTACTTTATGAAAACTATAAGACTCATTCAAGTCGGGTTTTGTATGGAAGGGGAGTGGTTTGGCTCATTTAAGCATTACTGTTTCACTCTCGTCTTGCAATGTACAAGGTCAGTGAAACTAATTATTTTCAGTATTAATTTGCTGATGCATTAAATTGCATTAGCAGTGTGATTATGCTGGAATTTAATAATTACTAGCACATGTTCCCAATTTGGGCAAACTCAGAATGACCACTGACCCAAGTCCTCCCTTCTCGAAAGCCACTTAAGGCCTTTCTTAAGTGAATAATATCAGTAGGCTATATGTATTGTCTTCGATACCACACCCTATTCCTTTACCTTTCAAAAAAGAAACAGAGTTCAGTTCACTGCTTATATAAAACAAAATGACAAAATATGATTTTTGTATTATTATAATTGTATTATTTATATTGCTGTTCCATGTTTTGTGTTAGAGTAAACTTGACTGCCCTTCTTGCATATATTAGGCTATAAGCCCAGAGCTGAATTACGCATCTGTAAAACAGGACTAAACCTTGCATTTAGACTTCGAGAACAACGTTTTAATGCAAACGTGGACATCGAAGTAAACACATTTTCATGTTTAGATGATTGTCGTGCTTACCCCCAAAAGTCTCATTATACGGACCGTAATTGAGGCCAGTCACTCCGTGACACACCAAAGCTCCATTTCATTACGGGTAATCGCCGTCCAATGCTGATTATTTTATTTAGGGCCATAATTGTATTCTCCCCAGATAACTCACGTTGAAATCGGGTCCACATGGAGGGCACCGAGTCTAATCACAGTATGAGATGCAACGGGGTTCGCGTCTGCTTGAATGGAGGAGCCGTTGTGTTACTTTCCATTTCACTTATTTCACGGTATATGGTAAGCCCTTTGGACCTATTATCCAACCTATGTCAAACCTCAATGCCATTTACACAAAATAAATAAGAATTCCTCATGGATGTAATCGGTAAGTACAGAAATTGTACTGGGAAATTAATAAAATAACACCAAGAAGCAGCACATTCGACATCAAGTTATATGAAAACGGCAACATTTATAGCCAATAATAATAATAATAATAACAATACCGACATTATTCATTCTATAATTAGAGTAAATTGTAAATGGCAACCTCTCTCTCTCTCTCTCTCTCTCTCTCTCTCTATATATATATAGGCTATATATATATTAGAAATTATATACCCCACCGCCGTGATTATGTAGATTATTTATTGCCTAAAATAATGCATTAATCTTAACGGATGTTTAGACCTATCCCTTGCTTTGATATGCAGCTAGATTCAAGCTACATTACGGGAAAGTGTGTGACGACCCCAAAGTAGCTGTTATAAGTGACAAAGCTTCTCATTGCCGATTAAAAGCTCATGACGGCATTTGTAGGGTCTTTAGTGATATTCGCGATTCCCATATCCTTTGTGTTTCTTAATTAGCCTAGGCCTACTCTCAGTAGTCCAACGGCCTGCCCGTGCACATTCATGCCACAGAACGAAGGGAGCACTGATTACACAAAAATACGATGAAAACTTGACAGTCTGCGAATGTGCTTTCGCTGAATGGATTAAATTAGGCAATGTATGTCAGCGAGTTTGAATTAAATAAATCAAATTACTTGCGTCAGCGCTGATGAAAAATCGATACAACTGAGGCATCAGTGCGCATCAGTAGCCTGTTTCACCTGAAGCCTTTACCAAAATAGAATTCTTCAAACATGATTTACAACGCCTTCTTGCATTACATTATATCTAAACACAGTTAAATTACCACGCATTTTTCAGATTTCACTGTAGGCTAATAACTGAGATGAAAGCTCATAGATCTGGCACTAATTACTTAAAATGCTTAATGGACTTGAAAATGACTAGTTGGAAATGTACCTTGGATGTGTTGTTAGCTGCCTCAAAGAATTCATCGTTTTTGATAGATGGATTCCACTCAAATAAAGCTGTAACTCACATGAAGGGAATAAAACAACCAGCCCACAAAACCCATAGCAACAACCCTCATTCTCGTCAAGCAAATATGACCAGCGGCCTCGAAAGTTGGGCTACAACCAAATAGTGACTTTACGAAAAGTGCCTCTTATTCCATGTATTTAGATATTGCAGGTCGGTCAAGTAGTAGCTATAAAGACTAGACTTTCCCACCTTTTGTGAAGCCTCTTTTTATCAGAAAGATTTATTATTCACTGGTTATTTGCCATGATTATGAAGTCATTTAAAATGTATAGCTAACAAGGGGCGATGCAATAAATTTGAAATGAACGAGAGCAACTGCAGATGAAGCCGGTTTGTGGATTTTAGTGGTTGGTTGTCTGACATTTTCAACCCTCAATTCTGATTGGCTCCCTTTTGTGGAAGCTGCCGGGCTCATTCAACTATTAAGCGCCTCCCAATCTCTCTAAAAAACAGTATAATACATAGAACCGCCTTTTTCAACGCACTGACGACTTTCCTTCATTTGAGCCCTATGCGCTTTTTAAAAGGGTTAAAAGTTGTAGAGATATATATATATATATATATATATATATATATAAATATATATAATATATTTTGTTCTTTCTGTCTTTCCTGCCATTTGAGAGAATGCTACATTTTTTGACTCGTGCGTCCACAGGGATGAAGGATGCTGCAGCCGAGCTTCTCGGACACCGAGAGGCTTTGAAGTGCAGACTAGGGGGGACTGACTCTGGACACCCCGGCGATCTTACTTCTGCTACAAAGACTGTGGAAGGGACCACTCTGCTCCCCGGGGAAGATATAAGCAATGGTGGATCCAATCCTAATAAAATGCAGCAGGTCAAAGCCAAAGACCAAGAAAAGCAGCAACAGCAAATCTCTAATAATCAATCGGGTGGTCAGCAAAACCAACAGAAACAGAAACGCCACAGGACCCGCTTTAATCCAGCGCAGCTGAACGAACTGGAAAGGAGCTTTGCTAAAACCCACTACCCTGATATCTTCATGAGAGAGGAACTTGCATTACGGGTTTTTTGTGGAAGCTGCCGGGCTCATTCAACTATTAAGCGCCTCCCAATCTCTCTAAAAAACAGTATAATACATAGAACCGCCTTTTTCAACGCACTGACGACTTTCCTTCATTTGAGCCCTATGCGCTTTTTAAAAGGGTTAAAAGTTGTAGAGTAGTCTGGGAAGCAGTTGTGACTCCAGCAGTGCGCAATGCTCTCTCATGCCGACCTCTTGGATACTCGCCTCGGTGAGTTATCGCCACCAAACTCCGGTCTTCAGCTCCACTGTAAGCTAGAGTATTTTTCAGTCTTCAAACTGGTGAACTAATGTGATGACAAAATTGATATCTCAATCTGTACTCATTTTACTATCAATGTTTGTTAATTATCAGATAAATTAATTACACATTTTCCTCCATCAACTTTGATGGATTGCGATACTGAACAATGTGAGAGAGGAACTTGCATTACGGGTTGGTTTAACGGAGTCACGGGTTCAGGTGAGACTGAGTGGACCTGCTCATCTTTTACATCGTAACGGAGCTTTCCAGCTGGTGATTAACACAGTTTAAAAAGATGAACGGAAGCAAACTAAACAAAAATGATAAAATTAAAATAATTTTTTTTCCTCTAAATATCCGTAACAATTTATTGCATAAATTGCACAGTCTTATTTAATATTCTCTCAAAACAATGGCAAGCCTAAAATATAAATATCAATGCAGCCGTCGCGCTAAAATGTAAAAACATTTGCAGTGTTGAATGTGCAAAAATACAACATTAAAAAATAGCATTAAAAAATTTGAAATCATGCTTTCAAAAGAAAAAAAAAACTAAACAAAATGACGACAACAAAAACTAGTAGCTATAGGTAAGACAATAGTTTTTATGCATATTTTTACTTCAAGGAAAGATGACATTAGCGTCAACAGAATGTATACCCTATGAGACAATACTTTATAAAACGTGTTCTATAACTGAATACGAATTGTGTCGTTAACAGTAATATAAAAATATGCAAATTAGTAAAAAATAACAGTAAAGCGTCAATGACCGGACATGACAATAATAATTCGTATGTGCTAAGCGCAAAATGTTAAAAATATAGGCTATCTCACAATAAGGAGTAGCCTAATATTTATTTTTGCTGCCTCTGAGCTTATTTTCACCACGAATTCATGATCATGGTTCCATGATGAATTATTGAGGCCATCAAACTATTGAGCCCGGTCTCATGAAAATGCGTATAAATAGAACGCCAAATAAAAACGAAAACTCGTGGTATTGATACGCAAAAATGGACTTTGGCGTGTATATGCTACGCACGTGTTTGGCGTGCATATAATACACAGTTTTCGCGTACATATGATACGCATCTACCCCACAACCCTAATCCTATACCCATCGCGTAGCATATACACGCCAAAGTCCATTTTTGCGTATCAATACCACGAGTTTTCGTTTTTTATTTGGCGTACTATGTATACGCACCTTCATGAGATCTCGGGTTTAACTATTTGTCTCCTAGAATGTGCCATAACGACTTCATCGCCGGCTGTCTGCAAAACATTATAGAAATTACTTTGTCTCGTTTTCTCTTGAAATTACCCTCCCGCATGTTATGGCATGGCTATAGTTGTCCGTGAAGACAGTAGACTAATATTTAAAATTTTACATAGCGTCAACAAAAACAAGCAGATGATTCATAGGGTGCATGTTTATAAACCTCAGCATTCATGAAGAACCATAGTACAAAGTCTATATATTTGCAGTGGCTCAGTTCTGCATTTAAAAATACAAGTGCTCGCATTTTACCGACAAAAGCTATTGCAAAAAAAAAAAGAAAAAGAAAAAAAAGTGCGGTAAACTAGGCTATTATATATTTTGTTTGTGTTTTTATTTATTACATTTTATTATTTTATTTATAATATTTATATTATTATTTATAATATTTAGGCCTGTATTTTTTTTTATTAATCTTAGAATGAAATGTTATGCAGTTTAATAGGCCTATAGCAAAATATTTGTGAAATAAAGTTGTAAGCCGACATAATGAATAGGCTACTCACCAAAGAAATGCTTGACTTTCTAAGTGTTGGTTTTTGTTTTTAATTTCAGGTATGGTTCCAGAATCGACGTGCAAAATGGAAGAAGCGCAAGAAGACAACCAACGTTTTCCGGGCGCCGGGTACTTTGCTGCAAACACACGGTTTGCCTCAGTTTCCGTCTGCGGCCGCGGCTGCGATGGGCGACAGTCTCTGCTCTTTTCATGTCAACGACACGCGCTGGGCCGCGGCTGGGATGCCTGGAGTCTCACAGCTGCAGATACCGCCTGCGCTGGGCCGACAGCAGGCGATGGCACAGTCCCTGTCCCAGTGCAGTCTCGGAGCTGGCCCCCCACCAAACTCCATGGGCCTTTCCAGCAGCTTATCGTCAAATGGTTCCGGTCTTCAATCGCATCTGTATCAACCCACATTTCCAGGGATGGTGCCCGCTTCCCTCTCGGGTCCAACGAATGTGAGCTGCTCACCTCAGTTGTGTAGCTCCCCGGACAGTGACATGTGGAGAGGCACTAGTATCGCTTCCCTGCGCCGCAGAGCACTTGAGCACTCCGTTTCGATGAGTTTCACCTAATTTGAGCATCCAATATGTCTTTTCTGTCACTGCAAACCCCAAGTATTCCTGAAAAACAGTCACGGAGCACTCAGGATATGAGGTTATAACTGTGAAATTACAAATTGGCAGCCTTACTGGATGATGGAATCCCAACAAACCCCAGACAATGCTTAGAGCAGATGTAGACTCTAGTAGTTTTAATGCTTGAAATTTATGTAATTTATTTATGTGTTGGATTCGGTCATGTTTATTTTGTTTACATAGCTATTGATTTTAATAATGGCGAGTTATTTATTTATTTATGAGTATTTATTTGACTCTTCGTTCACATATGAAGAAACAACTGCAAGCATATTTGTTTCGCGGTCGGTGATATTATTTTTTACTAAACTAAATGTAAAAGGACACGTTAATAAGGACCACATGTGTGCATGCACAGATTGTTTTAAGACACGTACTACATGTTGGAGTGATTTTTCAGGTGCAGAACTGAACACGTTGGATCAATAGCCAATTTCCAAATAATCAGATTCAGATGCATGTAATATTTCAACCGGGATCAACAGGAAGTTGTTTACATAAAGCAAAATGAACTTGAGTGTTTGTGTAGATAAGAAAAAAAATCTTGTTATCTGCTGGTATGTTTGTGATATGTTTTAACTTATTGTCTGCTGTGCTTATTACTGGAATATGTTTTTTGTAAATGTTTATCTTACCAAATTCAACAGAATTGGGAAGGTTTATGTAAGTGGGTGAATAAAATCATTTGAAGAATTTCAGCATGGTAATGTGATCTCTATAGAAGTTCAAGGGATTTTTGAAATACAGCAAGAAAATATAGAGGGTACTGTACAATATGTTGCCAGATGATTCAAGAGCGACAAGTCGATTTGCATTTTTAAAGATGAGAAAGAAACAAAAAATATAGGTCAAAATTAAAAAATTGTCCACATATTTTAGGGTTATTGACAGATATGTTGGAATTCAAACAAATGTTTGAACACTTTTTTTTTTCTAAAGCAACATTCTGGAAGGAAATGCTAAATAGGGATGCTCAACAATGTTTCAGTATATGAATCACTTGTCCAGATTTAAACCTATAGGAATTTGTCTAATACTTGTATAATAAATATTTACTCCCAACATTAACAGACAAAAGTATCATAATACGTACACACACACAAATATGACTGGCCTGGCACAAATCCTGATTCTTGTTTTATGTTTTGTTCTTTTCACAATCAAGGATACAATAATGGTCATTTGGATATTCAACACAACATATTTTTCCAGAGATACATTCTGATGTATTCTCACAACACTGAAAAGTGTGTGTAATGTGTTTCAAAATATTTTAAAATAATGTAATGGTTTGAATTGACACAGATGCTTAATTTTAAGCCCAAGATAAAACACAAGAATATACAGAGCAATGTGACTGAAAGGTTCCCACAAAAATGAAAACTCATGGCATTTCAAACATATTTGACTTTCTTCTCAGGAACAAAAAGGAGATATTTTGAAAAATGTCTCAGTGTTTTTTTTTTCTCTCAATACAATGTAAGTCAATGTTAAACATTCATCAAAATGTCATCTTTTTTATCTTCCCCTGAAGAAAGTTATGAGACATGATGACATGAAGATGAGCAAATGATGACTTATAATAATAATAATAATAATAATAATAATAATAATTGGAAAAATATAAATACTATTATTGGATATCTACCTGGATCATTAGTTGCTGGACAGATAAAACATATTCATATAGAACCATACAATTTGTTCTTGAAAAAATTGGGAAACATCAGATATATTACTCACAACCCTATAACACTTTGCTTTACTACTGTAACAGTAAAACACCAATATAATTATAGCTATGTGTATCTCACAACACACTTTACAGAGATTGCTTATGATACTGCACATTACTATTACTACATTCCAGTTGCAATAAGTCCACAGGGATATAGCTTGTCTGCTTATAATCTCTTGTCGACAAATATCTAAAGCAAGATTGTAACCAATTAGTGTGCCATGTTTTTTCTCCTGATCTCTTTGTGTGGTTTGTAACTGTTACCACTGGGGAGGTGGAACAGCCCACAAACATCTTAATCTTTTCTCCGATACAATGGCCAGACTGTCTCCCATTTAGCAAAGATTCCTTTGAACTGTGAGAAGAACCATCTACTGTCACTTCAGTAATTGCCTTTATCAATTGACAAAAGATCCAGATAGACCTGGACAAACATAAACAGATAATTACTGCAATGCCTGTAGTAACAGATAAATATCTATCCACTATTCCACTCTTTTTCACATTAATATTTTAAAAACATATGATATACAACGCAAAACATGAGAAACATCAAAAATCTTGGTAAAAAGCGAAATCCGAAATTGCCACTCTCAGTGTCACCCTGCATTGGCGTGAGACTAATTGTCCCTGTAAATCTGCATATAAGATTTCATGAAACAATGGAAAATGTAGAATCTACACAAGCCTCCCCTGATCATTCAACAGTCTCCATGTAGACATCCATCATCATCAGTTTTAGCATCTGCTCTGAGAGACCCTCTGCCTCTCTGGTCCCCCTGTGAGCGCATGCTCTGTTCACTGGTGTATTTCATCACTTTAAGCAAAACGCACAAGTGTCTCATGATTAAAACAGAATATAATGACAATTAGGAGATACTTTAAATGGATTGAATGAGATTTTGTCAAAAGTGTTCATTGAAAAATCTATTTTCAGTTAATAGTCTGCCCTTAGGGCCACTGAATACGTTCTCCTTATTCTTCATTTTTTATAACATGGTCCCATGGATATGAGTGTATGCTAATGAATCGGTGATATATGCACAAAGATGAGGAGAATTGAGTTATGAATTAAATGAAGGCTGCATGTGTATCCATATTACAATACTATGCTGCACTTTCATGTATCTGATTATGGTCATCAAAATCAAAATACAAAAACACTAAAATGGTGCCATAACCTTACAAAAAAACTAAAAGTATGAAGACAAAGAGATAAACAATGCACTTCTAATGCACATAAGCCATTCCTTGCTTTTCTATCTGTGCTCTTTATTCACCCCACCTGTCCACACTTGCCCTTGAGTTGCTCTGTCAGTGCATGGAAGGCACCTCACAGACCCTGTCAAGAGCAGCACTAAATCAGAAATCAGCGGCTGGCAGAGGAGTAAGCCACCATGAAGGTCACAGACATCAGCGGGATGCCATCTTTATCCACCCAGAGCACACATCCATGACCAGCAGGAGGATTCTCCACGTCTCAGACTGGGACAGGCTACATGCCATAATCTCAAAATGGCCTGGTTGAATTAAAACAGAACTAATGAACAGAAAAGCAGAATTATTCATCCCATTGTAGGTTTGAGCAATTTATGTAGGTGAAAGTAGGCCTACCCTATATGTAAGTACCTATAGGTGGGTTTAAGAAATATTTTTTTCAGTCATTTACATTTGTCTGTTATGTTTATTTCATTAAGATTTTGAAAATATTTGTTAAAGAGAATTTGTTAAGTTCACTTTATTAATTCTTAAAAACAATAAAATAAAATTATATATATATATAATTTCTTTATTTTTAATTAAATACAAAAACCTTAATCTGGTACTGGTATTATCGCTGTGATTGATTATTTATATAGTAAGCTAAATCTGAGTTATAATATTACAAATAATACAACCGCAAATCTTATTACGGAAAATTTTTTCTGGTATTTACCTTCTGCAGAATTGGGAATGTGTATTCATCACATGTTAACATATTGCCATCTGCTGGTGAACTAGAAACAATGTTGAATGGATTCCCCTGATCATTATAGGTTATAAATGTGGAAACGTGAAAATTAGTAACTATGTAGGTTGCGTCATTTGAATATCTACGAATATAAATGAATATTTGTATTTATAAATATAAATTTGTTTTTATAGGCCTAAATATTTGTATCTATAAATACAAATATCATTTAACAGGCCCATGTGTAGCCTAGATATTCAAATGTTCCAACATATTTTACAAAATATTGTGGCGATGACACTGTTTATTCTCTGTTATAAATGTGTTTACTTGATTCACGTGCTGTTGGGGGGAGGTGTCCGGGAGGGAAAGAGTGAGGAGGGAGGGAGGGGCAAGCGCGGGCGCGGGTAGTGGAAAGAAAAGGAGTTGGCCGTGAGCGCTTATTCTTCATTTTTTATAACATGGTCCCATGGATATGAGTGTATGCTAATGAATCGGTGATATATGCACAAAGATGAGGAGAATTGAGTTATGAATTAAATGAAGGCTGCATGTGTATCCATATTACAATACTATGCTGCACTTTCATGTATCTGATTATGGTCATCAAAATCAAAATACAAAAACACTAAAATGGTGCCATAACCTTACAAAAAAACTAAAAGTATGAAGACAAAGAGATAAACAATGCACTTCTAATGCACATAAGCCATTCCTTGCTTTTCTATCTGTGCTCTTTATTCACCCCACCTGTCCACACTTGCCCTTGAGTTGCTCTGTCAGTGCATGGAAGGCACCTCACAGACCCTGTCAAGAGCAGCACTAAATCAGAAATCAGTGGCTGGCAGAGGAGTAAGCCACCATGAAGGTCACAGACATCAGCGGGATGCCATCTTTATCCACCCAGAGCACACATCCATGACCAGCAGGAGGATTCTCCACGTCTCAGACTGGGACAGGCTACATGCCATAATCTCAAAATGGCCTGGTTGAATTAAAACAGAACTAATGAACAGAAAAGCAGAATTATTCATCCCATTGTAGGTTTGAGCAATTTATGTAGGTGAAAGTAGGCCTACCCTATATGTAAGTACCTATAGGTGGGTTTAAGAAATATTTTTTTCAGTCATTTACATTTGTCTGTTATGTTTATTTCATTAAGATTTTGAAAATATTTGTTAAAGAGAATTTGTTAAGTTCACTTTATTAATTCTTAAAAACAATAAAATAAAATTATATATATATATAATTTCTTTATTTTTAATTAAATACAAAAACCTTAATCTGGTACTGGTATTATCGCTGTGATTGATTATTTATATAGTAAGCTAAATCTGAGTTATAATATTACAAATAATACAACCGCAAATCTTATTACGGAAAATTTTTTCTGGTATTTACCTTCTGCAGAATTGGGAATGTGTATTCATCACATGTTAACATATTGCCATCTGCTGGTGAACTAGAAACAATGTTGAATGGATTCCCCTGATCATTATAGGTTATAAATGTGGAAACGTGAAAATTAGTAACTATGTAGGTTGCGTCATTTGAATATCTACGAATATAAATGAATATTTGTATTTATAAATATAAATTTGTTTTTATAGGCCTAAATATTTGTATCTATAAATACAAATATCATTTAACAGGCCCATGTGTAGCCTAGATATTCAAATGTTCCAACATATTTTACAAAATATTGTGGCGATGACACTGTTTATTCTCTGTTATAAATGTGTTTACTTGATTCACGTGCTGTTGGGGGGAGGTGTCCGGGAGGGAAAGAGTGAGGAGGGAGGGAGGGGCAAGCGCGGGCGCGGGTAGTGGAAAGAAAAGGAGTTGGCCGTGAGCGGGCCGGAAAAAAAGTTAGTCAAGCTCTTTTTGCGTTTTGTTGTTTCTTTGGGAAGTTAAGACTCCTCCTGATGCCCGCGTTTTAGATTGTAACGTTCAGGAAATAAACCACAGCCCGTTGGGTGCTTGCAATCCGGATTCTCGTCTCCTGTCTGTTTCTCCTGGGAAAGTGCAAAACGTCACACTATGCATCTGAGGCTATATGTTCACACTGTCAATTTTTGGGATTGACAACCGCATTTTCTTTACAGGTGTGAGTCTCGAAATGTTCCGTTCACACAGCGCGTGTGCTCCGAGAATGCGGTTGTGAGTCCTGAACTAGATTAACACAAGAGTTAACTTTATGAATTATAGTTCATTTTAAATATTTTTGAGCAGGCTCGGACTCCCTCGCCTCTTCTGACAGACCGTTACTGGATTACTTAACTGGATTACTTTAACTCTTAAAAGCTCATAACACTTTCTCTTTTAGGCTGATGCAAAACCAGTTTGAATGTTTCTCTAAAAATAATTAAGGTTTACATCGGATAGCTGGTCCGAGGAAAAAAAAAACTTTATTGAGAGTTATAGGCTACTAGAAAGACCCAGTTGTAAGGTATGGCTAAATGATATTATTGGCTACGCACCATTAATTTACATTCAGAAAAGGAATTTGGCCAAGCCATGATAGTTGGGCCTAATAGTTGAATGGAAAGGATTACATTTATGCCACATAATATGATAATTTGCCTGATTTGCAGTGTGTGCATGAGGACACCCTTACCAAAAAGTAGTATACTTTAGGGATGCACGTATCGGTATCGGTATCGGGCCCGATACTGAGCTCCTGTACTCGTACTCGTTAAAATGCCCCGATACCAAACGCTGATACCACACAGCATGTGATAAGCGCCATATTCAGACAACGTGTCTACTCGTGGTGTGGAGGAGAGAGCTTTCAGTGCATGGGACGGACATTAGCCGAGCCGAGCGACAGAAAGATAGAGATGGCTGATACAAAACAAAAGAGGAAAACGTCTGCGGGCTAAAATATATTTAGACTTTTTCTAAGTAGGCTATAAGTCAAGTATACTTAAATGTCATTTTAAGTATATTTCTGAGAAGTACATAAAAAGTAGACTAAAAGTATACTTTCCTATGTTTTAGTTTAAAAGAAGTATACTAATAGCACACTTGAATAAACTTCTTTTTCGTAAGGGCAAAGAATGAGACTGGTTAGATTCAAACACAGGAAACGCATAACAAATGAAAGCAATGTGTGTTCTAAAATGTCTCTAAATTTCAAACTTGTTTGATGGATTCATAGTCTGAAGCTAAAAAATGTTTTAGTCTCAGGGAAATCCAGTCAACTGTCTTTTTTCTAGTGCAGGCGGGTGGCAGGCGGGTGGCAGACTGAGCCCACGAATACTGCGGCCTGTGCGCACACGCGACGACAGCACATAGTTCTCATCAAACATCCCAGAGGTGATCTGTTCAAAGGCCATCGGTAGAAACATTCAGTGTTCAGTGTAACTAAACTGAGGCAGTTCTCACCTTGCATGAGTTCTTGATGGAATGAGTTTGTTTCAGGTTCAGAACTAAAAACACCAGAGGAACCTTTACCTTTGAGCTGTCCAGATCTGTTGGGTGCTTCATGGTTGTAGGATCATAGCCGTTGTGCCTGTCCTTAATGACTGGGTTAAAGATTTCAGCAAACACCTGAGGATCACAACCATAGTCAATGATAAAGTTAACCTGCATGTACTGTACTTATATCGACATGCTTCATTTTGATGCCACTACTTGATAAAGTTGACCATGGACAATGAAATAATTATCTACTACAGTCTCATTATATTATAAAATGAAGGGGAATTCCTTTGTCAGGTAAACTATGACTATAATATTGCTCTCTTCGAAGTAGACTGTCCGTGACCAAAGTCCAAAACTAAACTCTTTTAAAAACGGTATTTTTCATTGTTCATTAAAAATACTAGCAATTAAATTATTTGTTACCAAAAAAACAACAACAACATATCATTGTCACTAGTAGCCTCTTAAAGATTTTTCAGTGCCTGTGATAAAAAAGATATATCATAATTTTGTTTCTCATATTTTTATTTTGTTGGCTTAATATTTATATTTAAAATAATAGTGAATGGTTTCAAGATTGGATTTTAAGACTTAAACAAATCAAAAAGTAGAAAATGGTGCACTGAAATTAGAAAACACAAAACAACAAAATATTTTACACCATTTGAATTACTAACAGCTATTTTGGATCAAGAAAATCAACTCTTGTTTCAAACATTTTGGTATCAAAAGTCCAAAAATGGAGCCAAAAATATTTTGTGTTTTAGCTGATGGACCTGGCCTTAATGGAAGCTCAAACTTGTGCTTGTGCTACAATTTTTAGCTATTTTAAAATGTTTGTGCAAATTCTTTGGTTTTATCCATCATTTTTATTGTATTTACTTATTTAACTCTTTAACTCATGTTCTTAATTCTCATGTTTTTTTTTCAAGAGTTTTTTATATATATATAAAAAATGTTCATGTTTATGTTCCAATTAGTAAGAGTAGGAAAAATGTGTATATAATGAAAGATGGCTGTCACTCATAGCAAGGGGAAACTAGTGGATGGATTAAGAGCAAGTGAACAGGGTTATTGTAACGCTGCTTAAGCGTGGTAAACTTCAGCCTTGTTGTTGTAGAGGGGAGTTAGTACTGCTTTTAGTTCTGTAAGGATAAAAGATACTTTGATCTCTTGAGAAACAGACAATACAAACTTACACGGGCATCTTGGAGAAACCCCACAGAGTGGCGGTGCAGGAAACGCCTCTCTCACATATGCATCAGTTCCTTTTCATCTCCTCCCTCCACTTGATTCAACCTAAATTCGAGGTCATACTAAAATGGAGTCAGATTTGAGTTAAATCTAAATTGAATAACTCTGCGCGCTGAAAACCTTTGTTTTTATACTCTTAAACATATTTACTTCACACATCTGCTCTAAATTAACACTGATTTGGACACCAAAGTCGCTCCTGTGTTTACATCTCGATGTGATCGTACTTTTGACGGCTCAGGTCTTTATCACAGTGGGATATAAACAGCAAACATGGCGGAGAAAAACGGCTGTAGTACTGTAAAGTTTTATTTGTTTTTCCAACAACATCTACATTGCTTTCTCTTGCTGTTATAGGCATGTATATTTATGTATATAAATAACTATTAGGTGCATACTGTATGAATTGAACACAAGGAAAATAGTATTTATTTGACTGAAATTTCATAATCGTCAGCAAGCTGGAATTTTTATATGGTTACCAAGGATGCTACATTTTATTCAAAACGTATTGGATAATGACTAAATAAATTTTGGCTTTACTAAGATTTTGCCAAGAAATAGGCAAGAATGAACTCATGAATGGGCTGTCCTCCAAGATTCTTGTTCTTTTCAACAGCAAAGCACTTGAATGCAACAAACTCATAATTACACCTTCAGAATTGGGAAGTAGAAAATATCTGATAGCATGTGAAGGCAGCATTAATACAATAAACTTTTCTCATAATTGTGTTATTGGTGATTTTAATACCCTCTAAAGCCAATTTTTACTGGCATTTGACGCAGTTTTGTACCTCATAGTTCTCCTCATCACCAGCCACCATGCCCACATTCTTGATGAAGGGATGACCAGGGTTGTCCACTCCAGTCTGAATGCATTGGTCAAGGCTCCAGTTATTGGGGGTTAGCTTGTCCCTCAGAAGGCCATAAATAGCAGGGGTCAAGGTAGAAGCCATGCAGTTGTTGTGTTTGCGCAGGTCTGGGTAGTCAGCACTTGGAAAGATAAAAACCAAGGTTAACTGGAAACTAAATGTCAACTTTCCCAACTCACCTGGGTGGGTACAGCTTCTTTTTCTCCCCAGCAGAGACTCCTGACTCAGGCATGAAGTAGCTGGATACCAGGGTACCTGCACCCAGGCCAGCCATGATCACAGCCGTGTTGCGTCCGGAGAGCACTCGAGTGAACATGCTTGCCATCCACACCACTCAGCCACTCACCAACTTCAACTTTAGAGCAGAGGACAAAAATAATGTCACATTAAAAAAATGTTTTGCCAGATAAAAATAAATAGCTTTTTTATGAGACTGAATAATCCTGAGTTTACCAACAAAAATCTCTTCATAGATTCTAAGGGTGACAACTAAGTGCATATACACTTTTTACAGTGTAAAACAGGACTGTAAAAATATTCTTCAGTTAACAGCTATAAAATTATGTTATGAATATTTTTTTGTGAATTAATTTTAATAATATTAATACATTTTCTTGTACCTTTATACTTTTTATTTGTTTGGTTTACTCGACAATTTTAATTCATGCCTTAGATGGCCAATAAAAGATTAAAGAAATAGTTCACCCAAAAATGAAAATTCAGTCATTAATTACTCACTCTCGTCCCTTTCCAAACTCTTAAGACTCTTGTTCATCTTTGAAATGCAAATGAAGATTTTGTTTATTTTTATTCTTTCATCATTTTTATCTATCCACTGAAAATACAACCAAGATTTTCACACATCAAAAAGTAATGATCAAATACACAACCCATGAAATAAGGTAAGCTCAACATGTTTTCTAGAGCTCTGGTCAGTGTTTATAATGTGAATAGAAGCCTAAATTAAATCTGTTCATCATAAAGCGATTGTGTCTCTTCAGAAGACTTGGATTAAACCACTGGATTCCTATGGATTACTTTTACCAAGTTTAATGCATACAATTCTTGGTTGTGTGGACTTCTAATGGATGGACAAACATGATGATGAAATATTGCAAAAAACTTTCATTTGTGGTCCAAAAATGAATGATGACAAACTTTTTATATTTGGGTGATCTAATTGGATTTGAATTCTAAAACTGATCATGGTTTTAAGTAGGCATATCAACAGGTAGACAGGTTTTTATTGTTTTTGCTGAATGTATCAGCGTTAATCAAAGGTGCTATACTTGTCAATACAGTAGTTTGACATGGTGAGCAACCTCTGTGTCCTGATATGCGAGTTGACTTTTTCCACTGAGGAGTATCCAAATATACATTGGCTTTGAACTTTATGCCGAAGTAATATGTTCCAGCTTATATTTCACATGCCCCAGTACTACGCAGTGCAGCCCGTGTGTCACATGTATGTTCCAGTCGAACATTTTTACAAATCTTACACAAAACTCTAGTTATAAGCACAGCACTTCAACCAATGTTGTTTCAAATATCGAAATAGACAACGCTGTCTACAGAGAAACAGCTGACAGTGGATCTACAGCAAATGGTCTTACGTAATGGTGCCCATATATTACAATGATCACATGACCTGTGACCATTTGGGGGGCTTACAATGGGACAAGGTGGCTGTGCGATGGTCACACTTCTACTGGATTCTGAGAATGTAATGGTGTGAATTATATAAACATGGGGGGAAAAATAGAAAATGGTGCACTGCAAATGGAAAACAAACATTATTTTACACAGTTTTAATTATTAACAGCCATTTTGGATAAAGAAACAAGCTTGTGTTTCAAACATTTTGGTTTCAGAAAGTTCAAACACTGAACCAAAACATAATAAAATATATCCTCAGCTGCACAAATATCTAGCTTCCATGGTTCAATAAATAAAGCTACAAATACAAACAATTGTGAAAGCAAATGCTTTACTGTACTCACCTGTAGAAATGAAGAGGTCTCAGGCTTCAGTACAGCAGGCTGTTCCCTGTAGAGTGAGATCATACTGGGCCTGTGCTTAAAATAAGAGCTCATCTCTCCAGCCAATCCTAATTCATCTGTCAGCATGACACCACGGCTCTGTGTTATTGAGCTCTCTTTAACCAGTGGAAACCTCCAATTATGTGCCAGTGATACGGTACACAGCTGGCGATACTATACATATACATGCTTACCTTTTACACACTGTAGTCCATCAAGTGGCCACTGTCTGTGTTTAGGTATGTAAGTATTACAAAAAATCTTTACATCACATAAATCTTAATCACGTATCTCTATTTTCAGAGAAAATACCCTTTTAAATGTTGTATTTTGTCAGATGTGGCTACAGAAGATATATAAAGCTAATTTGTTTAGTGGGACAGTGTGTGAGGGATAAAATTAAACTAGTATTTGATTTGCACAGCCCAAGAGCATTATCTAGTGCTCATCCCTCCATTCCTCTGTAGGATTATGGAGAGAGAGAGACCTTGATATTAGTGCCCGGACACACATGAGACCCTAGATTTCAAATAATTTGTTCACTTTTATGAACATTCCACACCTTCTGAAGAGACCAAATTATATTGGAGAACTGAGGTTGCATTTTATTTTGCTGTGTTCTTACACCTCACCCTTTCAGGCTTGGAATCCGCATGGCAACAAAGGACAAGACTGCTACTCTATAAGGATACATATTTCATCATACACTCACTGGCCACTTTATTAGGTAAACCTGTTCAGCTGCTTGTTAATGCAAATATCTAATCAGCCAATCACATGGCAGCAACACATTTGGGTATGTAGACATGGTCAAGACGATCTGCTGAAGTTCAAACCGAGCATCAGAATGAGGAAGAAAGGAGATTTAAGTGACCTTGAACATGGCATGTTTGTTGGTTGTAGACGGGCTGGTCTGAGTATTTCATATACTGCTGATCAACATGTTACACTGTTACATGATCAACTGAATTCAACATGTTAAACCTTGAAGCAGATACACAGCAGAAGGCCACACCAGGTGCCTCTCCTATCAGCTGAGCAGGAAACTGAGGCTACAATTCACACAGGCTCACCAAAACTGGACAATAGATTGGAAAAAGTTTTCCTGATGTGATGAGTCTGGATTTCTGCTGCGATAGTCAGATGGTAGGGTCAGAATTTGCCGTGAAAGCATGGATCCATTCTGCCTTGTATCAATGGTTCAGGTTCCTGATGGTGGTGTAATGGTGTGGGTGATATTTTTCTTGGTACACTTCGGGCTCCTATGATTAATTATTCATATTTCCCCATGAGCTGATTCGCTACAGTCTCAATCCAATAGAGCACCTTTCGGATGTGGTGATTTGCATCATGGGTGTGCAGTCAACTATCTATCTATCTATCTATCTATCTATCTATTATCTATCTATCTATCTATCTATCTGTCTGTCTGTCTGTCTGTCTATATATATCTGATTTGATATATAATCTATCATTTGATTAATAATTTATTGTAGATGTGGTGATTTGCATCATGGGTGTGCAGTCAACAATCTATCTATCTATCTATCTGTCTGTCTGTCTGTCTATATCTATCTGCTTTGATATATAATCTATCATTTGATTAATAATTTATTGTAGATTCTATTTTTTGTTTGATTTGTTTATTTGAAATGAAAGCATGGAATTTAAGCACTGAAGCCATACATTCTCCAAGAGAATCAGTGATAAAATAAAGAGGAAGGAAAAAAATAAAGAAAAACAGTTTGATGCAGAAATGTACAAAAAGCAGATTTCACAGAAAGAATCCAACCTGGACATGCAAAGACATGCAACATACCAAAGCAACAATTCTGTGTGCACAACACACTAAACCTATAAATAAAAGAGAGAGAAAAGGGACAAAGGATTGTAAATGAATCAGATATGCTACATTTTCTTAACACATTTAGCAAAATGTAACAATTACAGGAGTGCTTTCAGAAATCAAAATATTACATGGCGATGGATGGGGACAAAAATCACATTATGTCATAAACCCATAATAACACACTATATACAAAAAGGGTCAAATAAATATGCCAGGAAATAAATACTACCGATTCACACTTGTTTTAGATAACAAGATAACAACGCTACATTGATGAAAGTGTAACTCGCACCTTTCCAACCCACTCACCTCTGAGATCACATTCACACCTTGACGCTCTCATGCGTTTCACACACACACACACACACACACACACACACAAAGAATAGAAATCCATCCCACTCCGAAGAAAGGAGAGATCAGACAAAAACAACA